TCCAGTCGTGTTTAGTAATGTTGACTACGATACACTGATTAGTAAGAATGTTTATGACATTCAGAAAAATGTTAATGAGCTGATGGAGAATTTAGAAGCAATTAACGAGGAGTAAGATTAAAAACAGAATATTTTCCACATTTCGAAATTAAATTGAAAAAAAAATAAAAATTATTATATTCAGATCTGGCGATAAAGTGGAAAACATAAAATCTTCATTACTAGCCAACAAAGAGGACAGCAATGTTTGTGATGATTTAAATGTCTTTTTCAATAAAACCTATACGGAATACAATCGTATGGAGGAAACATTGGTGTCCCAATTGAAGGCTATGAAAAATCAACCAAATTCGATTTTGGAACGCCAAGAAGAAATCTGTCCCCAACAATATGCGATCGATCTAATGTCTGAGTTATTGTTGGAAATTAATGGCAAAATCAATAAATTCGAAGAAGAATTTAAACGTTTGGAAATTTTGGAAAATCAACTGAACGCAGAATCACAAGCGATGAATGGCCAACAACAAGAACAATTGAAATTAGTTGCAGATCTGAATAGCAAATTACTTGCCAATCAGGAAAAACTTGCAAGCTATGAAAAAATTCTACCAGAAATTGTGTCAATGGTAAAAACGATCGATGAAAATAAGAAAAATAATAATCGTACATTGTCCGCAAAGGATATTTTGAAATTAAGTGAAACGACAACAACAATTTAAAAGAGGTATTTTTTCGAAATAAATCGGTTTATTTATTCATTAATCTTGTACACTTTTATCCCAAAGCATTTAAATAAATAAAATAAATTGTTTCAATTTTTGTCATACCCTTTTTTACATCGAAAAATTTTCAGAGATCACACAAAATATGTTGATCAGAATAATAACAAGTGAAAAAGCGTTAAGTTCGGCCGGACAGAACTTTGGATACCCTCCACCATAGTTATATTGACAGATACATGCAATGAAAATATAGGGAACATACCAAAAAGTGGGCATATACCGGTAATTCTACAAACCGATTTATGTAAACCGTTATGTACACCAAATACAAACTTCAGCAATTTTTAATGGGAATTTTTCCTAAAATCTGTAAGATCCAAAAAGTGGACTGATACTGATAACGCATGGTAGAGTATAAAATCCTCAAACTACTGTAATTTAGATTACAAAGTTATATGAGGCTATGCCTAAAGGGGGACTAATATTGATTACATAGTGTAGGAAAATGGTGAATGTTTGGGGATATCATTATATGAGGGAGTAATTAATGACCGGTATATGCCAATACTGAACCCAATATTTTAATTGTTTATCTCAATTCTTTCCTTCAGGAGGTATCACTATATTGAGGAGATGCCTAAATGTCTGCCGATATATTTCATCATCGTCATGTTTGAGGTTTCTTTTATCACAATACCTTTAGAAGGCGGAATGCTTGCAACAGATGGCTAAATAGTCTTTGTAGGGTAAAAATTGACTATTCCCCGTAACGACTACCCAACCGCAACACACGGAACAAATCATATAACTATTTTAATATAAACAAGTGAAAAAGCGTTAAGTTCGGCCGGGCCGAACTTTGGATACCCTCCACCATAGATATACTGACAGGTACTTGAAATGAAAATATAAGGAAAATACCAAAAAGTGGACCTATATCGACATTTCCATAAACCGGTTATGTAAACCACAATGTAAACTATAAAACAAATTTCAGAAATTTCTAATGGACAATTATACCCTCAGCTTTATGGATAATGAGTGTGTATACACTTTGACACGGTTAAAATGGTTTTAGACCCCATGTTTCTTTGGACCAAATTTGTTTCAGAAAATTTTGATTTCATCCAAACTTTGGCCATCTTATTATTTCTTTCAAACATAGCTCAAGTTCGAAGATGGGGAATATCGGTCCACTCCTTCTGGTACCTCCCACACAGGGGCTATGTCTAAATACGGGTTATAGTTCATATATAGTTCATTATCGAACCTTACGTTCTAATTTTTTTTATCTCAATATCCTCCGCAGGTGATATGATTACAACAGAGTCTTAGAACCAAACCCAAAACGCAGAATAAATTACATAATTATTTCAATATAAAATAGGGGGTTAAATGGGGACAACCCCAAAAAGGGGCTGCATGTTAATAATTTTTGTAGGGAATTTTTTTACCATATACGACTACAAAATACAAAATTTCAGCGAATTCGGTTGAAAAGCGTGCTCAAGAACCTCAAAATAGCGAAAATTGGGGATTCCCTTATATGGGGGCTACCAGAAAAATTGGACCTATATTTATAATTTTTGGTGGATATATTTGGAACCCAATAAGAACCAAATGTACCAAATTTCAGCGAATTCGGTTGAAAAACGCGCTCAAGAACGCCAAAATACCGACATTTGGGGGGTACCCTTATATGGGGGCTACCAGAAAAATTGGACCTATATTTATAATTTTTGGTGGAGATATTTTGAACCCAATAAGAACCAAATGTGCCAAATTTCAGCGAATTCGCTTGAAAAAATCGCTCAAGAACCCCAAAATACCGACATTTGGGGGTACCCTTATATGGGGACTACCAAAAAAAATGGACCTATGTTTATAATTTTTAGTGGGGAGATTTGCCCAATAAGAACTCAAAGTACTAAATTACAGCCAATTCGGTTGAAAACTACTATCAAACCCCCAAAATACTGAAAATTATAGGGTACCGTTATATGGGAGCTACCAGAAAAAATGGACCTATATGCAAATTTTTTTGTGGAGAAATTGGGAACCCAATAGCAACTCAATATACCAAATTTCAGCGATATGGGAGCTATGCCTAAACGTGGACCGATATATCCCATCTTCGAACTTGACCTGCCTGCAGACAAAAGACGACTCTATGCAAAATTTTGGCGCTCTATCTCAATTCTTTTAGACGCTAGAGTGATTACAACAGACAGACAGACAGACGGACATGCTTAGATCGTCATAGAATTTTACGCTGATCAAGAATATATATACTTTATAGGGTCAAACACCAAATTTCAGCGAATTCGGTTAAAAAACGGGCCCAAGAACCCCAAAATACCGAAAATTGGGGGTACCCTTATATGAGGACTACCCGAAAAAAATGGACCTATATTTATAATTTTTAGTGAAGAGAGTTGCTACGCAATAAGAACTCAAAGTACCAAATTTCAGCGAATTCGGTTGAAAAACGGGCTCAAGAACCCCAAAATACCGAAAATTGGAGGGTACCCTTATATGGGGGCTACGCGAAAAAATTGACCTATATTTATAATTTTTAGTGGTCAAAACCCCCCAAAAACTAAAAATTGGGAGGTACTGTTATATGGGGGCTACCAGAAAAAGTGGACCTATATTTATAATATTTAGTGGAGAAATATCGTATCCAAGAATAACCCATTTTACCAAATTTCAGCGAATTCGGCTGAAAAACGCGCTCAAGAACCTCAAAATACTGAAAATTTGGAGGTACCCTTATATGGGAGCTATGCCTAAACGTGGACCGATATATCCCATCTTCGAACTTGACCAGCCTGCAGACAAAAGACAACTCTATGCAAAATTTTTGCGTTCTATCTCAATTCGTTTAGACGCTAGAGTGATTACAACAGACAGACGGACAGACTGACATGCTTAGATCATCATAGAATTTTACGCTGATCAAGAATATATATACTTTATAGGGTCGGAAATGATTATTTCGATGCGTTACAAACGGAAAAACAAAACTAATATACCCTCCATACTATGGTGGAGGGTATAAAAATGTGTTTGATAGGTGTAATTGGTAGGTTACAATAAGAATGTTATCAGCATATTAAGAATGTATCCAAAGTATTGAAAGGTACTGTCCCCACTGCTTCCTCAATTAATTAATAAGCTTCAAGTTATTAACAACCGGAAAAAGCAGCCACTTTGTATCTCTTTCTGTGAAACTAAGTTGTCTATTATTTCAGTTAGTTGATGGCTCTTTTTATACCCTTCGCCACACTGTGGTACAGGGTATTATGTCTTTGTGCACATGTTTGTAACAGGCAAAAGGAATCATCGGTTTAGATTTAGATATAGCTCTCTTATATAGTTTCGTCCGGTTTTATACGAATGATGCACCAAACTGCCAATATTTGTCCGATTGGGACAAAATTTTGCACAGAGTACTGAATTAGGTCTAGACTGATGTCTGCGAAGTTTTGTTAAAATCGGTTCAGATAATTTCTGCCAATTTTGTTGATTTTTTAGAGAAACTGACTGATAATTTAGAGAAACTGACCAATATCAATCGTTAATTGGGATCGGAACGCTCCAATAAAAATAATAATTTCTGCCGAATACTTCCTTTGACTACTGTCAAATATATCCATATAAATGTCTGCTCCGGAAATTCAATACCATGCTAGTAAACGTATAATATTTATAATTTTAATTTTTTATAAACTCGTCTGTATATAAAAATAATTGAGCAACTGAAAATATCTAAGTCACTAATGCACAAAATAGTACGGTAGCGGTAACAGCAAATCACGCATTCTCTTTGTTTCTCTTTTGGTCAGACATTTTTAATGATTTTCTCTCACTTACGCTCTCACACACTTATTCTCAATTTAGTTCTGTTCAACTCTGATCTAAATGCTGATTATTTGCTCTCTGGTTATTTGATTTTAATGATTTTCTCTCGCTTACGCTCTCACACACTTATTCTCAAATTAGTTCTGTTCAACTCTGATCTAAATGCTGATTATTTGCTCTCTGGCACTCTTTCTCTCTCGCACACTCTCTCTTTCTTTAGTTCTCATTTCTAATCTCTTGGTTAAATAATAACGTCAAGTGTTTTATTTTTCTGGTTTCTGGTATTTGAAACATTTGTGTCAGTTCAATAGCATTCGCTTCATAGGTCGCAGCTGCGAGCGGATACAATTATTAATTCGTTTGTGTTCGTTTATTTGTAATTGACGTAATTAAAAACGTAAAAAAATAACAAAAATGTCAACAACAAAAGATACCACTAATGTACCTAAGTGGTTAGAAGCCCAACTGTTCATTGGCATTCTGAAAGAAAATGTACCAAATTTTAAAGAAATTAAAGAATTTAAAGCATATGCTGGTCTTCCGGCTGGTGAAAATTATTCCACCGTTATGACTCGGATTGAGATTGATGTACTATTGGAAGGTAAGTAATGGAAATTTGGTAAATTGTGTTGACGATAATTATTTGAAGACTTTTAAGCAATGAACTGAAAGCCAATTGGCAATTCTTTGATTGGGTCCATTCCAAAAAGGTGGATTTATTTTGAAACGCGGATGATAATTCTTTGCTTTGGTCCATAACAAGAAGTGTACTCATTTTGTGTACCAATTTTGCATTAGGTATTCGACAATAGAAGGATTATTTGTATAAACAATTATGTTAAAATTTTCATAATTTCCAAAAAAATTAAGGCAGTAACGAGTTAAGTGTATAAATTACAAAATACCCATAGCAAATAATACAAAGAAAATAATTTTTGTTTTAAAAACTCTCCATTGTGTATCTGTCCACCAGTATCTAATAGAAATTGTTACCATGAGAGGGAGTGGGAGAGTAATCGACATTTTGTAGTTCTCACCACATCGATCGACAGATATACAGACTATTTTAAATTGAATAAATAAATGGTTACGTTTTGGTTTTTGGGTTTGCTTTATCTCATGTCTTCTTTTCTACGAACAAAACAAATAAAACCCGAAACTCAGTTGGCATTATTTGAGTAATATACTCATATTCTCAATTAATGTTATTTAAATGTTTGTTGTTCTCTATTTCTCAACAAATAATCAAATATTTGTTTAGAAATAATATAACAACACTTTTAATCCAACAACATACAGTGATGGTAAAAAGTCAGTGCACAACAGCATATACGGTTAGTATAAAGCAAGTGTGAACGTTAACGCCCCCTATAAGCCACAAAAGCCAAATTTAGAAGTAATTTGATTGAGAATCACACGTCATTTTTAATACTCTTCATTACAATGTGGAACGGTTTTTATACCCTACACCAGACTGTGGTAGAGGGTATTATCTTTGTGCGCATGTTTGTAACAGGCATAAAGAAACGGGATAGACCTATGGTTACTTTTGAGAATGCATGCATGTTAAATTGTAGATGAAGATTGGCAGTGCTCACTTATTTGGCGCAAGGTCGAACCCTATTGAAATTGAATAGAATCGGTTCAGATTTAGATATAGCTCCCATATATAGTTTCATCCAATTTTATGTAAATGGAACACCAAAGTCCCTATATACATTTCGATTTGTACGAAATATTTCATAGCGCACTGAGTTATGTGTAGAATAATGTGTGCGAAGTTTCGTGCGAATCGGTTCAGATATAGATATATCTAAAATATACATTTTCGTCCGATTTTATGTGCGTGCAAAGTTTCGTGCAAATCGGTTCATATATAGATATATCTCCAATATAAATTTTCGTCCGATTTAATGTATATGGTGCACCATAGTCCCTATATATCTTTCGATTCGCACAAAATTTGGCACAGCGTAATGAAATAGGTCTAGAATGATGTGTGTTAAGTTTCCTAAAAATCGGTCCAGTTTTAGATATAGCTCCCATATATATTTTCGTCCGATTTAATGTAAATGGTCCACCATAGTCCCTATATATCTTTCGATTTGCACGAAATTTGGCACAGCGTAATGAATTAGGTCTAGAATGATGTGTGTTAAGTTTCTTGAAAATCGGCTCAGATTAAGATATAGCTACTATATCTGACCAAATGAAAAATTTAATATCGGTTGCAGAATGACATGTTTATGGATTCAATTTCATTTTAGTGGTCCTTTATAAAATGCGACGTCTGATAGGATTCATCTGTTGGATATACCCAAAGTGGTGAAGGGTATCATATAGTCGGCCCCGTCCGACTTTACTACTTTCCTTACTTATTTTTTGTTATCACTCCATATTCAATTAATATCCTCTGCCAAATTTCGTGTAAATCGAACAAACATAGGCCCACCATTTACATAAAATCGGACGAAAATATATATATATAAGACCTATATCAAAATCTGAACCGATTTCAACAAACCTTATATATGGGAGCTATATCTAAATCTGAACCGATTCAGTACTATGTGCAAAATTTTGTCTCAATCGGACAAATTTTGGGAGTTTGGTTTATCATTCGCAAAAAATCAAACGAAAAATATATGGGACCTATATCTAAATCTGAACCGATATTAACAAAACATCAGTCTGGACCTAATTCAGTACTCTGTGCAAAATTTTGTCCCAATCGGAAAAATATTGGGAGTTTGGTTTATCATTTACATAAAATCGGACGAAACTATATATGTGAGCTATATCTACTTCTGAACCGATGTTCTCCAATTTCAATACGGTTCGTCCTTGGGCCAAATAAGTGAACTGTGCCAAATTTCATCCAAATCGGATGGTAAATGCGACCTGTACTTTCTTCACAAAAATACATGGACGGACGGACATGCGTAAATCGACTCAGCAAATGATTCTATGCATATTCTCAAAAGGAACCATGGGTCTATTTCGATTCCTTTTGCCAGTTACAAACATATGCACAAACACATAATACCCTGTTCCACAGTGTGGTGAAGGGTATAAAAAGGGGGTTATATATATATGGACTACCCCTAAAAGGGGGTGAATAATAAAAATAATAATTTTTGGTGGGTATATTTGTTACCATATACGACTACATGATGCCAAATTACATCGAATTCGGTTGAAAAACGCACTCAAGAACCTTAAGATACCCAAAATGGGGGTACACTTATATGGGGGCTACCCGAAGAAATGCACCTAAATTACAGCCAATTCGATAAAAAAAACCAGTATAGTCGGACGGGGCCGACCATACGATACCCTACACAACTCCCACGAAACTTTAACTTTCTGCGGATGTTTCTTGCTAGCCTTGGAATTTGTTCCTGATATTTGCACCCTCTTGCCTGATTAGAGGTCAACAGCACCTCTTCCTTACACTGACAAATATTCCGACTATTACAAATAATCAGTACAGCCCTTCTAATAACTTGTCCAGATTCCCTTCACCGTGAGTTGTGTTGTGATATTCGGATTATATTCGAGTCGAAAACACACAAAAATTATGTTTTCGGTCCATTTCATGCCAAAATGTTAATCTGATCATCACAGAAAATTTTAGGTGTTGCCCTTGACCATAACTGAAACCTCATGGAAAATTTCTAAGCGATCAGCGTTGTATTTCCGTCCCCTACTGTGGTAATGGTTTACTAAATAATATCTGAATACATAAGTACCTGTAAATATTTGAGTGTAACTCCCACATCCGAGTACACACGACAATACAACAACCGATCTGTATCAAAACAGGCATGCTAATTTGTTGGCCCAATCCCCTTCACCATGCAAAAATTCGCGGTGTTTGGGCCATAATTGCGGCCTCTGGAGCGACCAGAAAAACCGATAAAAATAAAGTTTTTGGTCCATTTAATCCCCTAAATATTAACCGATCTTTTCCAAAAACAATAGGGATCTTCATTGGCCAGAACCCATCCTACACGCAAAATTTCGTGAAGATTGGTCCATAACTGTGGCCTGTATCGTGTTTACAAATTATAATGGCCAGACGGACGGACGGACACACATGTCTAGATCGACTCAGCTAGTCGAGATATGACGATCGGTATACTTAAAGGTGGGTCTAGGACCAATATTTCGCGGCGTTACAAACTTTTGGGGCTGCACAAAGCTATAATACCCTGACAACATAGTTGTGTAGGGTATAAATACGGTCAAAACCCCCAAAAACTGAAAATTGGTGGGTACCGTTATATAGGGGCTACCAAAAAATGGACCTATATTTATAATTCTTAGTGGTGTAATTTGGTATTCAATCAGAACCCATTGTACCAAATTTCAGCGAATTCGGCTGAAACCCCCGTTCAAGAACCCCAAAATACCGAAAATTGGGGGTACCTTATATGGGCTACCCGAAAAAATTGACCTACATTTATAATTTTTTGTGGAGAGATTAAAGCTAATTCGGTGGAAAATGTGAATAAAACCTCCAAAAACTGATAATTGGGAGGTACCGTTATATGGGGGCTTTTAAAAAAAATGGACCTATATTTATAATTTTAAGTGGAGAAATTTACCCTTATATGGTATCTATGCCTGAACGTGGTCCAATTTATCTAATGACCCACCTGCCGACAAAAAACGACTCTATGCAAAATGTTGCCGATCTATCTCAAATAAAATATGTGATATTTATCTAAATGTGAATCTACCTAGATCTATCCATAAAGAATGTAAATCGACTTCAAACAAATATAAATAGGTCATCCGTTGGGCTATATCTGTACTTCTAGAAAACGCAACTACGCAATTCTATGCTCAATTTTGTATGTTGTGCAAAATTTGATGTCAATCTGACTAACATGAGGAGTAATTTTAGAACATTTTGTTCCTATAAAATCAATTTATAATAAATGGGAGCTATATTTTGATTTTCACGAAACAAGGCAAACATCACTCTAGGCTCAATTCAGTACGCTATGCCAAATTTCGTGCAAATCGCAAGATATATAGGGACTTTGGGACACCAGTTACATGAAATCGGACGAAACTATATATGGGAGCTATATCTAAACCTTGACCGATTTTCTCGAAACTTGGCAGACATCACTCTAGGCTCAATTCAGCACGTTATACCAAATTTCGTGCCAATCAAAAGATATATAGGGACTTTGGGGCACCATTTACATGAAATCGGACGAAACTATATATGTGAGCTATATCTAAATCTATCCGATTTTCACGAAACTTGGCAGACATCATTCTAGACATAAATGATTTGGCCAACACTACTTTCGAAGAATTATAAACGGAAAAAACTAAGCTAATATAGACACCATACTATGGTGAAGGGTATAAAAAGCCAAAAACCGGTTCCGAACGGGTCGATTCAATTAGGCGAGATATGACGGTCGGTATACAAATTCTGTGGCCCACAAAATAAACTCAAATGTGAAATATGTAAACAAAAACACAACAACGAGAGAAAGAGCGAACAATTTATTATTTGCCGGCAATGAATCATAGAGGGAATGACAACACAATTTCGAATATGTGTTAAATACAACAACTACAATATCTAGATGTGTACATACGTGAGAAATGATACAAAAACCCACTTGAGTTTATAGAAATAATTTTTAAAGTTTTTTTAGATAACACAATTGTGATTAAAGAGACTTGTAGTGTTCTTTTGATACTATACATTAGGGTGGTCTGTAAAAACGAAATTTACAATAATTTTCAATAAGGTTAAAATCAGATATAACTATATATGCTTTAATATTAGATGGTTTTCTCTTCATTACATCTTAATCCCCTTCTATTCATTTTTCTTTTCATTTCTTTTCCAGATGGTTCAACGATTACGAAATTTTTTATACTCAAAACCGAACATGAATCAGAACTCTACAAAGAATTAACCGAAGGCACTGACTGCTTCCAATATGAACACGTCACATATCAAGAACTTATACCGGCATTTGAAAAATTATATCGTCAGGCGGGTAAAGACATTAGTTTCGGTGCAAAATATTATAAATTGCCCACCGAGAAAGGTCATCTGCTATTGGAGGATCTGTGTCAACGAAATTTTAAAAATGCCAATCGTTTGGAAGGTCTCGATATGAAACACGCTAAACAGGTGTTGAAAAAAATGGCACAATGGCATGCCGTTTCGGCAGTCCATAAGGAAAATATTGGTAAATATGATGAGGATCTAATTATCGGGGCCTATAATGAGAAGCTGCGTAAGGGGATTAGCAGTTTCTTTGAGGGTATGACCAAATATATGTTACGCTGTCTGCATTTATATGAAAATCATGAAGACTACAAGGAGAAGATTGTGAGTTAACATTTTTTTTTAAATTATTTCCTTGTTTTAATTTTTAATTGTTTCAAAATTTTTTCATTTTAGGAAAAACTCCTCCACTGTGTCATCGATGAGCTGTGGAAAGCCACCAAGGTGGACGAAACGGAATTCAATGTCCTCAATCACTGTGATTGCTGGACCAACAATATCATGTTCCAATACGATGAGGCGGGCCAATTATTGGACATCTATTTTGTTGACTTGGCAATGCCGAAATATGGCAGCCCCGCCCAAGATTTAATGTATTTTATTTTATCTTCTCTGCAAGCTGATATAAAAATTAAACAATTCGATCATTTGATACAATATTATCATGAAAATTTATTGGAACATCTAGAACTGTTACAATATTCGAAGTCAAAACCAAGCCTCAGGGAGCTGCACATGCTGCTGCATAAATATCGCATTTGGGGTAAGGGGTGCCGAATCTCAATTTCAAAAATTGTCTTTTCATGTTGACATCTTTTTTCAGGTTACTGCACAACAGTTGGTGTCCTGGCCGTTGCCCTGCTAGACTCTTCGGAAATATCGACATTTGATAATTTTCTCGGAGACAGCGATGATGGTGACAAATTCAAATTGATGATGTTCACCAATAAACGTTATGTCCAACATGTCAATGTCATATTGCCATGGTTGTTAAATCGTGGTGCATTGGATTTTTAAGCGATCGTATTTTGTATTATTTCCTGTGTACTTAATTTTTGTAATTTTGTATTAATTGAGCTTTACTAATTTTGTATTAAAAATAATTATTTTACTTTGTAACGACGGTTTTTTCCTTAGGCTGGAATAAGCTCACCGGGTCCACTGTTTGTAACAGATTTTATGCGAGACTAGTGTTTTAGTTCTATAAAACCTTTATTTACTTTAAAATTCGAAGACATTGCAAAAATAAAACTAAGACTTATTACTATAGACCGGTAGCTGTCTTTCAGATGTTTTGTATACCGTCCACCATAGTATGGAGGGTATATTAGTTTTGTTTTTCCGTTTGTAACACATCGAAATAATCATTTCCGACCCTATAAAGTATATATATATATATATATATATATATTCTTGATCAGTTCTATGACGATTTAGCCATGTCCGTCTGTCTCTTGTAATCACTCTAGCTTCTAAACGAATTGAGATAGAGCATCAAAATTTTTGCATAGAGCCGTCTTTTGTCTGCAGGCAGGTCAAGTTCGAAGATGGACTATATCGGTCCACGTTTAGGCATAGCTCCTATATAAGGGTACCCCCCAATTTTCGGTATTTTGGGGTTCTTGAGCGTGTTTTTCAACCGAATTCGCTGAAATTTAGTACATTGGGTTCTTATTGGGTACTCAATGTCTCCACAAAAAATTATAAATATAGGTCCACTTTTTCTGGTAGCCCCCATATAACGGTACCTCCTAATTTTCAGTATTTTGGGGGGTTTTTAACGTATTTTTCCGCCGAATTAGCTGTAATTTAGTATTTTGAGTTCTTAATAGGTACCAAATCTCTCCACATAAAATTATGAATATAAGTCCATATTTTCGGATAACCCCCATATAAGGGTACCCCCCAAATGTCGGTATTTTGGGGTTCTTGAGCGCGTTTTTCAACCGATTTCGCTGAAATTTGGTACATTTGGTTCCTATTGGGTGCCAAATATTTCCACCAAAAATTATAAATATAGGTCTAATTTTTCTGGTAGCCCCCATAAAAGGGTACCCCCAATTTTCGTTATTTTGGGGTTCTTGAGCACGTTTTTCAACCGAATTCGCTGAAATTTGGTATTTTACAGTCGAATATGGTAACAAATTTCCCTACAAAAAATTATTAATATGCACCCCCTTTTTGGGGTAGTCCCCATATAACCCCCTTTTTATACCCTCCACCATAGTATGGAGGGTATATTAGTTTTGTTTTTCCGTTTGTAACGCATCGAAATAATCATTTCCGACCCTATAAAATATATATATTCTTGATCAGCGTAAAATTTTATGCCGATCTAAGCATGTCCGTCTGTCTGTCTGTCTGTTGTAATCACTCTAGCGTCTAAACGAATTGAGATAGATCGCCAAAATTTTGCATAGAGTCGTCTTTTGTCTGCAGGCAGGTCAAGTTCGAAGATGGGCTATATCGGTCCACGTTTAGGCATAGCTCCCATATAAGGGTACCCCCAATTTTCGGTATTTTGAGGTTCTTGAGCGCGTTTTTCAACTGAATTCGCTCAAATTTGGTACATTGAGTTCTTATTGGGTAGCAAATCTTTCCACTGAAAATTATAAATATGGGTCCATATTTTCGGATAGCCCCCATATAAGGGTACCCCCAATTTTGAGGTATTTTGGGGGGTTTGATCGCATTTTTCGACCGAATTCGCTGAAATTCGGTACTTTGAGTTCTTATTGGGTACCAAATCTCCCTACTAAAAATTATAAATATAGGTCAATTTTTTTGGTACCCCCCATATAACGGTACCCCTCAATTTTCGGTATTTTGGGGTTCTTGAGCGCGTTTTTCAACCGAATTCGCTGAAATTTGGTACATTGTGTTCTTATTGGGTACCAAATTTCCTCATTAAAAATTATAAATATAGGTCCACTTTTTCCGGTAGCCCCAATATAAGGGTACCCCCAATTTTCGCTATTTTGTGGTTCTTGAGCACGTTTTTCAACCGAATTCCCTAAAATTTGGTATTTTGTAGTCGTATATGGTAACAAAAAATTATTAATATGCATCCCCTTTTTGGGGTAGTCCCCATATAACCCCTTTTTTATATTAAAATAGTTATGCAATCTGTTCCGCGTTTTGGGTTTGGTTCTAAGACTCTGTTGTAATCATATCACCTGCGGAGGATATCGAGATAAAAAACTAGAACGTAAGGTTCGATAATGAACTATATATGAACTATAGCCCGTATTTAGACCTAGCCCCTGTGTGGGAGGTACCAGAAGGAGTGGACCGATATTCCCCATCTACAAACTTGAACTAAATTTGGAAGAAATTATAAGATGGCCAAAGTTTGGATGAAATCACAATTTTCTGAAACAAATTTGGTCCAAAGAAACATGGGGTTTAGAGCCATTTTAACCGTGCAAAAGTGTATACGCCCTCATTATCCATTAAAAATTTCTGAAATTTGTTTTATAGTTTACATTGTGTTTTACATAACTGGTTTGTGGAAATGTCGATATATGTTCACTTTTTTTATTTTCCCTATATTTTCATTTTAAGTACCTGTCAGTATATCTATGGTGGAGGGGATCCAATGTTCGGTCCGGCCGAACTTAACGCTTTTTCACTTGTTTATATTAATATAATTATCTGCTTTTCCGCGTTTTGGGTTTGGTTCTAACACTCTATTGTAATCATTTCACCTGCGGAGGATATCGAGATACAAAACTAGAACGTAAGGTTCGATAATGAACTATATATGAACTATAACCCGTATTTAGACCTAGCCCCTGTGTGGGAGGTACCAGAAGGAGTGGACCGATATTCCCCATCTTCGAACTTGAACTAAGTATGGAAGAAATAATAAGATGGCCAAAGTTTGGATGAAATCAGCATTAATAGTAGTGGCAGGGATGGTAACAGGTTTTTTAGTATTTTGAGACCTTAACAAGTACTATATCGGGGGAATTTAACAGGACGATTGAGGAGTTCGAGACCTGGATAAGTACTCTCTGAACAGCTGGGATATGGATGCTTCTCCTAGATTTTGCTTACGTGGTGCTATGCTAGATATAGACAAATTATACTACAAAATTTTGTACTGTAATAGAACTTAGTAAGTACTCAATCAAGGATATGGATGAATTCTACAACGACAGGCATTAATAAGTACCCAAAGAGCATACGGTAGGATTTTTAAAGAAAGCGATCGTGGTGCTTCAAAATACTATAAAAAAGTAGGTTGCGGGTAATAAATCACCGATCTGTCTTTTTGAGTCGAAACAATACCGCAGTCGACTATATGGTCCTTCGAAGGTGGGTCAAATCGCACAAAAGTTGTTCGTGAAAACAAACACTTCAATGCATATGGTCACCAGTTTCAGCGCCAAAACTGGTCATGTGACGACTGTTCCGCCGTTGCAACCTAAGAGATCAGTTCTGAGTGGTATATCACAATTGGTTTTCCGAAATCTTGAGCAGAATTTCGAAAAAACAACTAGAGAAGTCGAATCAATTTGAACCATGACAATGCGAACTTTCACACTTGAGCTAAAACCAGCCAAGAATGGCAGAAATATTTATTGTAGCTTTGGTACAGGTCCATGTTTTAACACAGACTTTTGGGGTGCATACAAAAATCCTTAAGTTGATCTAGTCATATATATGTGGACTATATAATGGTGTTATGTGATATTAGGCTTTTAACGCTCCAAAAAAATAGTGTTCCAAAATACAATTGAAACAGTTGAAAAACGTAAACAGGACTTCTTACATATTTATTTTTTTTTTCGCCATGGAATCCGATATGCCAAATTGTAGCAACTCCTATTAGAAAATTCGGTTAAAAATGTATTAACACCGAAAAAAACAGATAACTTTTATTTATATCAAAACTTCTACCTATATATACACCGAACATATATGCCAGGCTTCCAAAACCCTTCATACCAAATTACATTCCTATCGGTTGGGAAAACACCGAAAATGGGATGCTACCGATCTATGGGAGCTATACCAAGCCGTAAAATAACATTTATAATTTTTAAGGAAGACTTGATTTCCCAAAATCTCAACACTACATACCAATTCTGACCGCAACAGCAATCCAGATTTTGTACCATCTAATTTTAGTATCATTTATCACCTGTCGTACTCTTCAAGTAATTATATCAAAAACTAATTCCAATTCGAGCTCTATAGGTTAACCTAAATGTTAATTTTACCAAATTTAGTACCATAAGTCCAACAGGATTCCGCGCGATCGCTTCACCCAAATATAATTGAACCAAATTTAGTACCATTAAAAATACATTAGTATGAATGTTCAAAACTTCCTATATACCCCAATTCTACACCCCAAAAATGATTCTATATCCAAATTTTAGGATTCCAGCTCTGTCGGTTCACCCAAAATTCTAATTGTACCAACATTTTTTTTACCATTTAGTACCCATAAGTATAAATTTCCAAAATTACATCCATACCCCACTCCTACACTCCAAAAGTAACCTTATTTCCAAATATCAGTGTTCCAGATCTATCGGTGTAACCAAATCAAAATTGTAACAAATTTAGTACTTTTTGTACACACATGTCAAAAACTTCCAAACCGACCTAAATATTCTAATCAGGACATTATCCGGAGGTGTGAAATACCACCTTGTGTATACCACGATGGCGACAAATCGCTGGAGTCTGTATTGGTTCAGCACGATGTTATATAATCTCTTCCGCTATACTCCCATATCTGGTTTACATCTTTCAGGTCGTCTATAACAAACAACATTTTGCCCTATTACCTTTACTTCAATCCAATTTGTCATACTTCAAAATACCCTGCAAACAAATTCTTATTTACAAAATTATCATTAACCAAAGAAAATAACAATACGAATACAATTTCCCCACTCATTTCCTGACATTAAATACATTTCCCAAAATACGTGACATTATTAAAGTGATGATCCACTGATTTATATTTGTAGTGTAACGTCGTTCTGTTTCGGTTTCAT